CTACTAAAATAGTTAGGTGGATACGTACAATTCTCAACAAAATAATCTCGCCATATTTGTTGATCACTTCCCTCACGATCACACCTTATATATTGCCTCTCATTTAGTTTTGAAAGTAATGTTAGCATTTTCCGTGGAAGAAGCAAATTTGCCGCGGAAGAAGCGAAGTCACCATCTTTCGAACACATTTATTGTAATGCTGTGAAGCCATCTCTTGATCCCCATTGGATAAGCTATCATCATCGGTTGAAAAACCGAAATGTGTAGAAGAACTAGACTCTATGGCAGGAATAAATTGAGACGATGAGGCCATTAATGTTTTTATGGAAAAAGAAATGAAAGAGAAGATAAAAGAATAAATAATCTGCTTGTTAGATGAAAAAAAAATGCACTTGACGAATACAAAAGAATAAATCAAAGACTTTAGCAAAATATATAAAATTTGTTTATTTAGTTGGTGACAACACAATATATAGATGTTTGTTGTAAATTATAGCAGTTACCAAAGTGAAATATAGCCATTGGTAGTGGAGCACTGGTAATGTGAAATATAGTCGTTGGCAGTGGAGCACTGGTAATGACATTAATAAATTTTTTAATGGTTTAGCTAGGTAGTTAACTTGTCCATTATGGTGCACGCACACATTCGTTTAGCAACTATTTTACACACTAATATTGTGTTTGGTTGAGGAATTTAAAAAGGAATTCGGAAAAAGAAAGAGAAAAGATGTGTGAAATTAGGTAAAATGTAGGTATATTTTATTCACATTTCACCTTCCTTTTCCATTTCCCTTTCCAAATCTTTTTTCAAATCCTCCAACCAAACACGGCTTAAATGGGACCCACTTTTGCCATATGGACACTTTAGTACACACTTTTCTAACTATTTCATTGTGGATGCTCTTACACTATGTTTGAATATTTATAAGAGAAAATAAAAGAAATAATTTGTTAAGTTAAGAGAAAAAAGAAAATAAGATAAAAAATTGTGATTTTTCTTTCTCTTGTTTAGTTAAGTTAGGAAGAAAGGGAAAGAAAAGAAAAGAAAAAAAATAATTTGTCTCTAATCTCATTTGAATAGACTATATAAAAGGGGAAAAAATCTTATAGATTATATTACTAAAATACCCTTTATCTTTTTATTTCTTTAGTACATAAATGAACAATTTTGGTAAGGTAAATTACACACAATTCTACTAAAATTTGGAGAAAAAATAATAAGCTTTACATTTTTTATATAATTACACCAGTCTTCTTCAAAGGTTTAACTTACAAAGCACTTAAGTCTTTTTTTATTAGTAATTTGTTAGCTGTATGAATACAATTTCGTTCTCAAAAAAAAAAAAAAAAAAAAAACGATATTATCATATCTTTTTTATTAAAATGCATATTTACTTTTTTTTATTTATGTTTTATTTTGAAAAAATTAGTGAAAAAATCACTTTAATAATTGTCTAAGATATTAAGTCCAGTAATAATTTTTTTTTTTGTGAAAAGTTCACACTTTATGAAATAATTTGGTGAGAAATCTTAGAGGACATTTTATTTTCAATTTTACCCCTTAACTTTTTTTTAATCTATTTGAATTTCCATTGATTATTTGTTCAAATTTATATCTATTTATTCTAAATTTTTTATCTATCTGTTTAATTTTTTACTATATAAATTTATGGATAAATTACAAATACACCCCCTGAGGTTTGCTTAAAATACAGATTGAAAGTTCACACTTTATGAAATAATTTGGTGAGAAATCTTAGAGGACATTTTATTTCCAATTTTACCCCTTAACTTTTTTTTAATCTATTTGACTTTCCATTGATTATTTATTCAAATTTATATCTATTTATTCTAAATTTTTTATCTATCTGTTTAATTTTTTACTATATAAATTTATGGATAAATTACAAATACACCCCCTGAGGTTTGCTTAAAATACAGATTGTCCCTTGTGATTTGAAAAATTACAAATACCCCTTTATTAGAATTTTTTATTTAATAAAATTAACTAAAAAAATGAAATTCATAATTGCTCTCCTATACACTAATAAAATTACCTAAATTATTAATATAAACATATTTATTGTTAATTGATTTGATAATTTATTAATAAAATTGGCGATTTGTTATGAAATTAGAAATCTCAAGAGGTGGAATGTAACGTCCGAAATAGTTATAATAAATCATCCACTACGAAAAGTGATTAACAATGCAAATCAGAGTATAATATCCTTCCAGTATATAAGATTTAGTTACACAAAATGGTAACATATGCGAATATACATTCATAAGCCCTAACCCTGAATCTACAGCATGTGTCAACGATAGATTCATGAAATAGAAGTTTAAATAGATAATAGAATGCCCTGAAGGCTACAACTTTCCAAGACTATACTTGGTTACATCAAAAATGGATTTAAATCCAATACATATAAAGCCCTAGGTGTGTACAAAATAATAACAAGAAAACAAAATGAAACTTTTGCTCCAATCCTCCCAAGCTACTGCCTTGGCGGAGGTATCTTACCAACACCTAAAAATAGTTTTTCCCAAATAGGGTGAGTCAAAACCCAGTAGAAATAATTTAACATAATATATGAATCTTAACAAATATATGAGAGTGAAGTGCATATGCAATGCTCATGTCAAAATAATTTACATTTCTTTCTCAAAATCATGTCATACTCAATTTATATCACAATTCTCAAATTATATCCTTTACCATTAGAAACAAGAAGGAATTCTCGAACCAGTACAACCTTTCACGGATATTTCATCCGCAGAAAACTGTCAAACGGCACCCTTGTAAACGTAGCTTTACAAGCACTACTATTGTCATTTTACGAATATTTCGTCTGCGAGAATTGGCACTCATGTATACGCGCGTTTTTCGGGACTTTCACCCTAGACACTCCGGCCAACTTAATTTGGTGATACATACCTCTTTCCAACATTTACCCATTTTTCTCAAATTCATATACATATACAATGTATTAAATGAGCAACAATATTCAATGCACAAAGAAGAGAAATTAGTTTCAATTCACCTAATCCTTATGTAATTTCTACAACAATCATAGCTATCATCCACCAATAGACCAAAACATATATAAAATCTCTCATACAGATAAACTTTCCAAATTTCAAGGTGAGTGATAATACATATCAAACTTCACCATCTAAATCAATATCCATCTGTAAAAATCAATGTATAAAGAGAATTGTATAGAGAATGAATGATGTATTATTGATTGATGTATTACAAGATTCATCTATTCTGTATATTACAACTCCTATATATAGAGGAGAAGATGGTAGTGGAGTGTGTGATAGTGGAGGTGGTAGGTGTGGAGAAAAATAGTGGAGGTAGTAGGTGAGTGGTAAATTCTAACACAGAATGTAATAAATGTGTGTTCACCATTAAGTTGACGATCTTCCTTTATGGTCATCTTGATTTGGTAATGATGCCCAAAGCACCTTATCAGGAATCTTAAGAGATTTATAGATTGGCATTTCTCGGATGTTAGAAATTTCTAGCTGAAGCTATTTGTTTCAAGTTTAGCAGCACTTGTGTCTCTTTGTATGAATAGTTAAGATGATGCAAAATAACAAAAGACACAGAGACATCTTTTTGTATTTTAGTTGTTCTCTTTATGTTTGCTCCTGCTACTGGCAGAAGAGCCTAGCTTGGTCAATACTAACAATCAGCATACAAAATTGTGCACCAATAACTTGAACAAAATTACCTTTTCTAGCCAGATTCGTGCCATCAAAAGGCGTGCCAAGTTGTCGGCGAGCGCCGAGCGGCTCATGATGCGCGTGTCTGCCTCTTCGTCAAGGTCTTTATAAATCGAAGCGGAGGCTGAGGCTGAGGCTGAGGCAGAAAACCCGCTAAAAAACTCTGAAAAAAACTCTTCGTGTTGCTGAGAGAGATAGTTCCTTTTGCTGAGAGAGTGTCTCTAAGAGCTGCAAATCTTGAAACACTCTGTAATACTCGGTTGCCCAGAAAATGGCCTCTTCGTCCCGTAGTCTGCTCACTCTCTTTCCCGACCTCAATGAGTCAACAAGAGAGAGAACTGGTGCGGTGGCCAGTGAACCTCAACCAAACACCTCTGTGTTTGCTCCGTTGAACTTTCCGATGCGGTCTGTGGAGCAAAGAATGGCAGTGCAGTCGGATGTGGAAGCCAATCAGTATACATTGAAGTCATGTGTGGAAACCATGACTGCGGTTACAAACTTGTCGAACCGGCTGCAGAGTAGGGCAAATGAGGTGCAGCATTTAAATTCCCAGCTGGCTCTGCTCCAACGCATGTATAAGGATGCGCGAGCAGAGATAAGTGTGCTAAAGGCGGAAAACAAGGAACTGAAGCGGAAGGCCACCGTGATGTTCCGTTTTGGAGGTCCGCCATATGCTGCAGTGGAGGAGTATGGGGGAGTGAACGTGCTCGGTGGACAAGGAAGCACTGAGGCAGCACCGTCAAGGACTGTCCAAGACGGAGGCAAGAAGAAGAGACCTGCAGCAGAGTAGAGAAGAAAACCCCACTGTGGGTGGGTGTTTGTGGGTGATGTTTGTGTTTTTTTTTTTTTTTTTTTTTTTTTTTTTTTTTTGTAAAATTGTGATCGGGGTTGATCCCGGAGATGAATAAAATATGGGTGTTGTGCAAATTTGTAAATTGTTTTTGTTTTTGTTTTTGTTTTTTTTTTTTTTTTTTTTTTTTTTATAAAAGAGGGGGAACACACCCATGTGATAATAATAAAAATAATGAGAATGAGAATATGCACATTGTCTAGTAAGGTGATGATGAAAAATAAAATAAATCCGGTTTTGACTATCAAAATATAATATATTATATAAATATTGTGTTAACTAAATATTATGTTAACTATTATATAATATAATATATTATATTTGTTTGTGGAAGTGTGCAACAGCTGGGCCACTTTCCTGATGAGTTTGAGTGGGATGGTAGATGCCTTCCCAATAGTATCACGTGGGAATGTTTATTTTTTATTTTTTATTTTTTTTTGGTTTGGTTTGCTAAAACCAGATATAGCCCGCACATGAGCCAAAGACGTGGAATCAAAACCTTGTAAGTTGGATACACCTGTCACTAGCCACAATAGCTCTGCAGAGGAGCTAGTTCCTAAGCTTGTCGGCATGAAGGCCTCTCCCTTGATGGAAATCACCTTGGAAACAGAAAGAGCTTTGTCAGCAAGGTTGCAGCTCAAAAGCACCACTCCTGAGAGGCCTTGAAGGTCACAGCGTCTGTAGGAGGTGGAGCTGAGTTACGCAGAGAGAGCCGAGAGGGAGATGCTCGACTTTCCATGGCTATCGACGTGCGAGGAAGCGGTTAGATCGACTAACAGGGCGGCGAGGACTCCGATTAGAGTGACGAGGTCGGAGAAGGGGAAGTCCTTCCAGGGGAGTTGAGACGCCACCTGGCAGTCGGCGAGGGCGTCGAAGGCGTCTGGGAGGACATGGACGAGCGATGTAGAGAGAATTACTCCGGCCGCGAAGCACTTGATTATGAGGATCGCCTTGTCGTAGACCGACTTGCCGTGGAACAGCCGAGCTAGCATTACCGGCGATGATATGCCGATTACGCTTGTGAAGAAGATCACGAAGATCGAGATGAGTTTGAGGTTCGACGCGACGTGGCTGTTTCGGCAGGAAAGGGCTCGAGTCGTGTCGGTGGCGCACACAGCCATGGCTCTCTCTCTCACTCTCCCCTTTGTCAACACTAGGAACAATCAAGGACAGCACTGGTCCACTCTGCAACCTGAGGCTTTAGCAATTCATGATTTAGCCAAACAGATTCAAGGAGGGCTGGTAGAGAGAGGGAGAGAGATTTGAATTGGTTGAGATCCGGCGAAGAACAAGAAGAAAGGGAGCTTGAAGGTAAGTGTAGAGAATTTTAGCAGACTAAGGTCCGGCGGGCGGTCAAGCCGAGTTTGCCGCCCGCCGGTGAAGCGAAAAATACTAGTTCTTAACCTTGCTCTGATACCATGTAAAAATCAATGTATAAAGAGAATTGTATAGAGAATGAATGATGTATTATTGATTGATGTATTACAAGATTGATCTATTCTGTATATTACAACTCCTATATATAGAGGAGAAGATGGTAGTGGAGTGTGTGATAGTGGAGGTGGTAGGTGTGGAGAAAAATAGTGGAGGTAGTAGGTGAGTGGTATAGTGGAGGTGGTAGGTGTGGAGAAAGATAGTGGAGGTAGTAGGTGAGTGGTAAATTCTAACAGTACCTGTCTATCTATTTATATCTCTCTCTCTGTGTGGCTTACTGGATTCTATACAATGCAGGTTTTGGAGGCCAGGGCAGGATTCTACGAGAAGCCAATAGCAACGTTGGATTTTGCATCTCTATATCCATCAATCATGATGGCATATAATTGATGTTACTGCACTCTGGTGAAATGCTTTTCTATTTTTTATGATCAGTGTCATTTGTTCACAACTCAATCTCATTTCTACTCCCATAACCATTTTCCATACAATCATTTGAGAACCCCTCTTTTGATTTTAAACCAAAACCTTAGGTTTGTTCAAAATACTCCAAAACCACAAGATTATTTATGAAAAACAAATAGCTAAGTTAAAAATCATAAAAGAGTATAGGGAATCCTTACCTCAAAGCTAAAAGACGAGAAAAGCATGGATGAAACTCAAATGAAGCAAAAACCTAACTCTATTCGGATAAAAATGAAGCTCTATGTGAGCTCTACCTTTTTAACAAAGAGAATAGGGTGGAGAAATGGGTAGATCTAGGTGTATTTGTAGAGAGAGAGTGAGTTTTAGAGAGAGTGTGTCTCAACTTTAGGGTTTTGATATGTTTAAAAAGAGGAAGAGATGAAAAAGTGATGTAAAAAGTGATATTCACGGACTGATATATGCACAGTCCGTTCAAACGCAATAAGCGACGCTCGACCATCCAGACACAAAAATGATTTCCGCTTGATCGTAAGAAGTAACGCTCAAGCGCCAAGGCACAATGAAAAGGGTGTCATCCCTCGAGCGCAGGAAGTGACGCTCGAGCATAGAATACACACTTCCAGTAGTTTTGCAAACAGAAGACCATCGCTCGAGCACACGACCGCTCAAGCGTAGAATACACTCTCCTGGTAGTTTTGCAGGCCTACAAAGTACTGAGAGTTCACAAGTCCGCTCGAGCGCAAGAAGTAACGCTCGAGGGTAACAACAAAATTCTAAGCAACAAGGTTTTTGAAAAACAATATACCAACCTGTTCCAAACGCAACCAATACAACCCAGTAGTCAAACTCAAGAAGGAAAAAGAGGAATAAAACAAGAACAACAATACAGAATCATAAAACCTGAGTCCAGAATGTCAAATAGGTCAGATCTAAAACCAAAATCGTTATATGAAATGTAATTTTCAAAACCACAGAGGACGATTCGTATTTTAATCAAATCTCAGAGAATGTATTTGTAATTTATCCTAAATTTTTTATTTGTCCAAATTTTATCTGTGCAAATATTTCATCTCCTCCTCAACATATGTAATCAACAGAATAACAATTTTTTCATTTTTTTTTTTTTATATCTGTACAAATACCTATTCAAATTTTATAATCAAGTCAATTTTAATCTTTTATCTGTCTAATGAATATTATATTAATATTACAGTTATGGAGTTATGGAGCTGATAATATTTAAATTTGAACATTACAAAGAGTTTTTGATCATACACAAATTTATACAAAGATTCAAATATATACCCTAACATATATAAAAAAGTATTTTTAATTTACATTTATATATATACACAAATTCATTAACTTATATCCCTGGATACATCATAAAGCTTTAAAATCTCTAGTCCAAACCTTGGAATCGCTCAGATCTAGAGAGAGAGAGGAAGTAGAGAGAAATAAAGTAGAGACTTTGCCATTTGAATAAGATGAAGTAGAACTACATGAAATTCGATCCCAACGCGTGGCCGCGATAGTCCGCCAAAGCCCAAGGATCTGTCACCGTAGCCTAGTGCGGAGGAGACTTCACCAAACCAGATCTGTTATCAGACCACAATCTTCGTTGGATAAAAAAGGCCCTTCATGTGTGAACTTGACTTCGACAACAAACCTTAGAAAGAGATCGCGAATATTCAAATTTGAAACCGTCGACGAGCGAAATCTGAGATCTAGAGCAAAGATCTGAAGGTGAAACCGTCGACAAGCGAAGGGTGAGATAGCTTCGGAAGCGTCAACAGGAGCCGGCGCGAGTAACAGAGAGTAGAGAGAGACAATTGAAGAAGGTATGAGAGAAGATGGAAGAGGAGTGGCAGAGGCGGAGGTAGTGGTGGTGGACCCTGCGAGGTTCCTTCGCCCGCCGTTGTCGACATAGAAGAAAGCTTCGGTGCTTGGTCTCGACTTCTTCACGGCGGTGACGCTGCTAGGGTTTTGAGAGAGAGAAAGCGAGGCATAGGAGAATGGTTGTGTGTGATGTTATTCTAGTTTGACAATATATATACCTAGGGTAGTTTTGTCATTTTATAAGTGCTTGTCTTTATAGATAAAATATTCTCACGTCTGGAGGGAAATTTTATTTTGACACATTTAATTAGCTCAAGACACACACTTAATGAAATATTAATTTAATGACAATTATATCTTAAAAATATTCAGCACTTGTCTACCAAAATAAACTATAAAATTCAGTTTTTAACTATCGAAAATAAGAAAAAAAATCTAGAATTTTACTGTCAAATTAATCTGTTATTTTCGTAGTTCAATTATCGAAAAAAAATATTTCGGCACTTGATATCTAAATTTAATGACGAAAATCAACACTAGTGGTCCAATTGAAAACCGCAAATGTAATTTGAAAAAAAAAAAAAAAAAAAAAACTACTATACGAAAAAACTAACTTTTTTATCATTGATTTTACTGTCACCGGGCATATTTTTGCTTGAGTTTGAACTTCCATTGATTTGTAATTCTTCCATATCAAAATCAAGTAAAAATTGTGAAATTAATAAGAAAACAATATGAATAATATAATATATAAAAAAAACGGTGCCTCGGTAAAAACCAAGATTTGTGTTTCCATCATGGCAAAGCCCGTAACCAGTCAGCCTTAGGGCACGCTTTTCCAAGCAAGCCTCCGGTAAACCGTTCAGGAATAGCATATGGCAAACACTGTGACTTAGGCACACCTATGCAAATGCAATGCAAAGAAACACATAAGTGTAGACAAAACAACATATCATGAGTTTGAGTCAAGCTCTCTAAATCTCCAGCAGAGTCGCCAGAAACTGTAGACCACCCGAACTCTCTCCGCGTGGCCCCCCTTTCGGAGAGGGCGCGAATTGGGTTCTAGCTACTACAGTTCGGACTCCTGTCACGATTTTGAATCTAATCTCACAAAGTGCAATGTAAGACTGATAAATCACCAAAGAGTCCAAATCCGACAATTGGTTTTGAAAAATCAATTTTGAATCAAAAGCGCCAAACATAGACCGCTTTGCCAGATTTCAGAATCGCCACCCAAATATTTTATTTTGGAAAATTTAGGAAACCCTTACTCGTGCCTAAGGCCACGTGCCCGTCATCACCAAAGTTGCCTCGGCTCGGGAACTTGGGTACGAGAGGGAAAGGTCCTGAAATGAGCACCCCCGCTCGCCCGATCAAAGGATCGGCCTCTACTAAACATGATATGTTATTTTGAAAACACATGTGTTCTTATTCCGGTTTGTTAGCTAACCTTACTATGTGATGCGCACAGCATACAAGTATAGACTAAATCACTCAATTTGGAACAAAACATCTCATGTTCGTTTTTCGAAAATGGTTTGGAAGTGCTACTCACAAGTAGGCTAAAACACAGATTTGCCACCCTTAAGTGGGCTTAAAACAACATGATTTGCCACTCCGCAAAGTGGGCTTAAAACAACATGACAACCCATTTTTAACAAGGCCAAAGACTTAGACAAACAAGCAAGGTAACAATACAGATGCGCCCGCAGGCAGGGGCAAAATGCAAAGGACATGCACAATGCAAGAGCATAACTTATGATTATGCAAAGAGGGATGTAATGAAGTATTTATGCAAGTGTTATGCAAAGTAAATACAACATTTTAAGCAAGTGAATAAGAAACTACAGTCTCACACATTTCAATAGAAAAGATGTAAGAAAATTATGCAATCTTCACTGCGCCTTACGCAGGAAGGGCTAAAAGCGACCATTGGGCACACCCGAGGTCTCAAACAAGATTCCGACGTGTTACACGTAAAAGGAAAAGGAGTGGTATAAGCGTTGGAACATATTCCAAATGTTCTTAACCAAAGAAGGTCTAACCTGCCGCGCGTGCAAGGAGAAAGAACAACAGTACCCAAGTCGTATGAAATTAAATGCGATAGATACACAGAGTGAAGATGTGCGATGGATGCACAAAGTGAGCATGTGCGATAGATACACAAAGATGAATATGTGCAATAGATACACAAAATGAACATGTGCGATAGATACACAAAGAACATGTACGATAGATACACAAAAGTGAACATGTGCGATAGATACACAAAAATGAACATGTGCGATAGAAACACAAAGTGAACATGTGCGATAGATACACAAAGGTGAACATGTGCGATGGATACACAAAGTGAACATATGCGATAGATACACAAAATGAACATGTGCGA